GTCGTTATCCACGTCTCCGAAAGAAAAGGCTTGAGGATTCATGTTTCCGGGAAAATATAATTTTTCCCGGTCTACTAGACATAGTGTTTTCATTTAGGTATGAAAAATCGAAGAGGATGTTATCACATATTCCGTGTATATTATAATTTAATAGATACGTGACCGAATAACTCGTTTACAACCTGTTCTACCTTTTGTTATAGAAGATCATGTGGAATCTTTAAATGTGATGGATCACTCGGACCAAGCATACTAAAGCCCGACCCTACCCAACCGTGGAGAAAAGGTTGAATATCAGCTAACTACTGTATTATTGAACATTTTTTTCTCATAAGATACCTGACACGTCTTTTCCTGGTTCAAAAACACGTTTATTAGGTATTCAGGTATTTATAGTCTCATTGCTTAGATATAAAAGTGTACATTTTGAATCTTTGTGTTTATATATTATAACATATACTGTATATTAGTGAAAACTTATGTTGCTTTCTGCTTTTAAAGCATTTAAACTTTTAGGCATGTCAGCTAGCAAACTTTGGTGATTTTACTTAGAATTTAAAGTTTATAATATCAAGTTTAATTATTACTATTTTGAAATTTCAACATGAATTTTGTTTATATTAGAATTTTAAGCTCAAACAAAAAGATCTTGAAATATATTATAGAAACAATATTTTTTCAGTTTATTATTTCAGATATCAGTTTCAATATCAATTTTAACAAATTTGGATTATGTTTTTTATTAAAATAATTAATTTATAAATTAATTTAAAAAATTGTTATTGCTTATAAAAACAAGTTGTATTAATTTATTTTTAATTTTATCAAGTTTGATTTCAAGCTTAATAATATAAAAATAAAATTTTTAAAAAATAATTTAATAAATAAATAAAAATTAACTTAAAATAATAATAATAATAGTTTTTTTTTATTTATCAACTATAAGAAAAATATTTTACAAATAAATAATTTATTTTATTATAATAATTATTATTATTTTTTTTTTTTTTAAGGGCTAAGTTGCAATACATGCATGGATTTTATTGTTAATCAATTATGATCACAACTATCTATACATAAACAGTCTATTAACTATTGCTATTATTTTATTATAATTATTTTTATTTTTAAAAATAGTTAAATATAGTTTATTTCTTAATATATATTAAATATTAAGAATGTATTTAAAGAACCTATACAAATTAGTATTTATATATACTTATAATATTTTATATTAAAAACTTATAGGTTTATAGTACAGTGATTAGTGCTTTACAAGTTAGATCACAAGATATCAGTTTAATTTTAGATAAAGACAGTTGAATAATATTAATATAATATCTAATGTCATAATTTAATATGTACTATTTTTTATATAAAGTTAATTTATATACTAATCCAATAGATATTGAGATTATGACCAAAGATGAGTTCTTAAATTAAAGGCAAATACATAATTCAAATATTTCTTATTATTAAAAAAGTTTTTTTTTTAAATATATGATTAAAAAAAATCATTTATAAAATTTTTTTGCAATTTAGGTTACTTTATCCAAGTGTTTTTTAAATTATATTCCTATTAAAGTAATGAATAAA